TCTCTCCTTCTTCTTCTCTCTCTTCTTCTCTCTCTCTTCTTCTTCTCTCTTCTCTCTTCTCTCTCTCTCTCTCTTCTCTCTCTCTTCTCTCTCTCTTCTCTCTCTCTCTCTCTCTCTCTCTCTCTCTCTCTCTTTTTTTTTTTTTTTTTCCCCCACCCTCGAACTTCGGTCTGCTCTGACCCTCTGCGGGAGATACCAGCAGCACTTAAATCTGTAGATATACAGTAGTTCCTTTGCACAAGGGAGGGAGTAAAGCCTTGGTAAAAAATTATAGGCCAGTTGCACTAACATCACACATAATAAAAGTTTTTGAAAGAGTGATTAGGAATCAAATTTCTAGTTTTATGGAAAATGAGTTACACAACCCAGGACAACATGGATGTAGATCGGGAAGATCCTGTCTTGTCACAGTTACTCGACCATTATGACAAAATCACAGAAGCCCTAGAAGAAAAGCAAAATGCAGATGTAGTATACAGACTTTGCAAAGGCATTCGACAAATGTGATACAAACGCTGGATACTCAATTCCCTGTCGAGCAGAACACAAAGAGTAACAGTCAATCAAATAAAGTAGAGTCCAAGCGCAGTTAAAAGCTCTGCACCTCAAGGTACAGTCCTTGCACCACTGCTGTTCCTTATTCTCATATCAGATGTAGATAAAAAATACAAGTTACAGCTTCGTGTCATTGCAGATGACACAAAAAACAGCATGAAAATTGCCTCTGCTGAAGACATGAAAAAATTACAAGCAGATACCAACAAAGTTTTCGATTGGGCAGCAGAAAATAACATGATGTTTAACAGCGATAAATACTCTGTACTCTGTAGGTACTCTGTATAGGTACTCTGGTACGGAAAAAATGAGGACCTGAAACATAATACAGGGTACAAAACACAATCGAATCTGCCCATAATAGGTAAATAGCATGTCAAGGATTTGGGAATAATGATGTCCGACGATCTAACGTTTAGGGAGCATAACCAAGCAAATATTGCGTCAGCCAGAAAAATGATAGGATGGATTATGAGAACTTTCAAATCCAGGGATCCCATCACGATGGTTGTACTATTCAAGTCACTTGTGTTGTCCCGTCTTGAGTACTGCTCAGTACTCACTTCACCCTTCAGAGCAGGAGAGATTGCTGAAATAGAGGGAATACAGAGAATACATTCTTTCCCCAATTACAGGTAATACTCTTCTCATCTTGTTGGAGGGAGCCGAGGTGTAATTACCATATAAGCAAGCGATCAGTACAATCTCCAGTCAAGAATATAGTACTCGGCGTAGGCAGTTCTAATCGACCCAAGACGCTACAGCTTCGACACAGAGTAGACAGCAGACCACGACCGCATCGAGCTACAACGCTCTCGCTCCCCAAGTTCAGACACTCGCAATTCCCAATCCAGCCGCCACGCTCTCCAGCATACAGCTCCGTGACTCTGGCTTCACTCAGCTCTCTGCTCTGCTCCAAGCTCCGTCTGAACGTTTACGACAATGCTACCAACAGACTACTGTAATCAAGACTACTAAATAAATATGAAAACTCATTAAACAATGTGTATCTAATCTACCCAACAACGTAACATAATCGTACGTTACAATGCTCTGTACCATACTGGGTTACGCCTCAGCTCTGCTGTCTTTCGTTCGACTTCTACCCTCAGCCTGTATGTTGAAACCGGCTTCCTTTCTCTACATGACTGACGTGATCGCTGCAGTCTTCGTTACCTTGCGTGGTCCTTACAACACCCTCACGCTTATGTCGTGATTTAACTTGGCCCTCCTGTGGTCCCTGTTCCCCTTCATCTCCCTCTTTCTGTACGGTTGACTCTTCTACAGAATTATCTTTAGGTTATCTTGAGATGATTTTGGGGCTTTTAGTGTCCCCGCGGCCCGGTCCTCGACCAGGCCTCCACCTCCCAGGAAGCAACCCGTGACAGCTGACTAACACCCAGGTACCTATTTCACTGCTAGGTAACAGGGGCATAGGGTGAAAGAAACTCTGCCTAATGTTTCTCGCCGGCGCCTGGGATCGAACCCAGGACCACAGGATCACAAGTCCAGCGTGCTGTCCGCTCGGCCGACCGGCTCCCTCGCTCGGCCGACCGGCTCCCTCAATAGGTTAATGTTACCAATATTTCTCCTCGTGTTGTTCCGTCCTTGCCTCCCGTGGAGGGTCCCCCTTCCTAAATTTTGTAAATCCCAGACCCAAGCGACTAAAAGCTTTTACCCCTCCTACGTGCTCTGAAATGCCTTTCCCTTGAACACTTTTCTGCACACTCCCGCTGTGTGTTGTGACATATTGCGTCTGCTCCCTTTAGTACCAGGGAATCCCCTGTTTGAGCTGTATAATATGAGCTATGTTACTGGGGAACTTCCTTTTTCTTGGACCAACAGTATAATCATTCCAATTCCCAAGCCAAATCAAGAGAATGCTTTCCGCCCAATTTCCCTTACTAGCTGCATTTGCAAAACATTCGAGAGAATGGTCCTAAACCGTCTCCTCCATAGAATAAGAACCATGCTATTCCCCCAGATATATGGCTTCATGCATGGAAGGAGTGTGCATCATTGCATCACCACCTTTCTTACCCTGCACACTGAAAAGTCATATACCACCTTCCTAGATCTCACGTCTGCCTTTGATATTGCAAATAGACATGTTATCTTGAGTGAGCTTGCAAGAATGAATATTGATGGTCGGCTTCTTTGTTGGATCAGGGGTAACTTATCCAACAGGAAGTCATCTGTATTTTTCCAGGGACATAGGAGTGTAACAAGAGACTTTGAACTAGGTACCCCGCAGGGAGGTGTCCTCAGTCCTACCTTATTTAATATCTTAATAAACACGCTGTTATACTCTGTACCAAGCAAACCCAACGTCCACGTCATTAGCTATGCTGATGATATAATGACACACACCACTGGGTATGCTAACACGCAGAACGCTCTTAACTCTGTATTAGACTCATGTCAGGACCTAGGTTTAGTTATCTCAGCAGAGAAAACAAAGATACTAAATCGGCGCCCACCCAGGCAGGGAGGAGCTGTTCGCAAGATGCAACTGTCTGATGGCTCCGAGCTTGACTATGTAAACAGATTCAAATACCTTGGCCTTGAGGTGCCACTGTATGGTCCTGTTGTATTCAGACTCTGTCGTCAGTATAAAAAGAGGCTTCGAGCTCTCAAGGCTCTAGTGGACTTACCTGGCACAGGAGCGGTCTCCGTGTCACAGACCGCTCCTGTGCCAGGTAAGTCCACTACGGGCTCACCATAGCCCGTGCTACTTGCCCCACTCCTGTGCCAGGTAAGTTACGGGCTCACCATAGCTCGAGCTACTTGGAACTTGTTCTGAGTAGCTTAATCTATAGCAACATCTATAACATATCTCAAGGCTCGGGGCACCGCTCCAGTGCCAGGGAAGTCCACTACGGGCTCACCATAGCCCGTGCTACTTGCCCTGCTCCTGTGCCAGGTAAGTTACGGGCTCACAATAGCCCGTGCTACTTGGAACTTGTTCCGAGTAGCTGAATCTATAACAACAACAACTCTCAAGGCTGTTGCAAGTTATCACTCAGGCTATGGTGCCAATGTCAGAATTGTCAAAATGATGTACCTTGCATACATCAGATCTTTAGTGGATTATGCTACACCTCTGCTTGTTTTGATGCCTGAAAGAAAGCTTGGAGGGCTTGAATAATTGCAGAACGAAGCCTTGAGGATATTCCTTGGGTGCCCTCGTACCACAAAGATACTTAATATGAGAAAGGAACTTAATATTCCGAGCGTTGTTGATCGTGTTACTGAAATTAACTGTCAAATTGGTATAAAAATGCTTAGGCTAACTCATCCTAACCCTTGCACAGAAGCCCTCCAGAATTTCTTTATTGAAGATCAGCATTGTTCCAAATGGATAACTAAAACTGGAACTCGACTCAGAACGTATCAGGTTCACAATTTGTACCAAGAGAAACAACAACGGCACTTTCTTGCACTGTGGGAGATTACACCCTTTCCAATTTTAATCCCTCCCTTTCCACCCAAGAAGCAAATTAGAGATCAGCCCAAGCTTCGTCTTGAGGCAAAGCTCAACGCCTTAAGCCATATTGATGCTCTGTCCACAGAGCATTCTCTCTCTCAAATCATATACACTGATGGGTTCCCTACACCGCACCACGGGTGCAGCTGGAAGTGCAGTTGTTCTGACAATGGGCGATGGTTTGTACTTTGAGTGGGGAGTGCGTATAAACAACTGGGCCTCTACCCTTCAGACCGAACTATTTGCCTTGATCCTTGCACTGAAATGTGTACAAGTCTCCAAGCTTGATATATCAATTGTAAGTGACTCCTTACCATCCTTAATTGCTCTTAACTCTTTAAGACATAACTGTAACATGCTCGTGTCCAAAGCTAGACAAATACAACAAAATTATTAAGGATGGTAACAGAGTCCATTTCATGTGGTCTCCATCTCATGTTGGCCTCTGAATGCATGATAGAGCTGATAAGTTAGCCAAAGAATCTGCCTTTAAAGGAGCCGTTGAGTGTAACCTTGGATTGTCAATGAGCAATCTGAGAGCAGCAGTACACCGAGAACTTCAACAAGATTTTGTAGTTCTGAGGCAAAGTGAAATCGACACTAGTAATTCTATCTATCATCATACTGTCATGCAAGAAGAGCCACACATCTATGGTTCATCCAATAAAATCAGCAGACTTCTAGATGTTACTACTGCTCGGCTTAGACTCGGTTACAAGTATCTCTGGGAATTCTCATTATCTGCGATGTAGATCTGACCAAATGTAAACTGTGTCAACAAAATTATTCGCACACCCTCCGTTACTATGTGATGGAGTGCGAAAAGATACGTGAATTCAGGGACAATTCTATAACCAATGTACCAACGAAGTGTCAATATTTCATTCAAAATGATCTGCTACTAGAAATTTTAGCCAAATATCTCCCAGTTTGCTAACTGTAGGTAGTAACTAAGAGTGATTGTAACCTATCCACCGCTGCCCACTGGATGGGGGGCGGTGTGCAGGACAAACATATCAATTGTGACGCTAGCTCTCCACATGTCAGTTGCTTAATTTACGTCAACGGCGGCTTCAACTTGCAATTGATGCTGTGTCGTCTTGGGCCACCAATCATGGCTTCAAGTTCTCTGCAACTAAGACTTGTGCTATGAATTTTACTCGACAGCATGTCGTCCTTCGTCCTTCTTTGTCACTTTATGGTCATCCCCTTGTGTATAAAGATTCCGCGAAGCTTTTGGGATTAATCTTTGACACTCGTTTGTCTTGCTCGCCCCATATCTCTTACCTCCGAGTTGAATGCGCCAAGGCCTTTAACCTACTTAAAGTTTTGTCTTATACTTCTTGGGGAGCGGATAGGCGCACGCTCCTCGCTCATCCTGTCTAAACTTGACTATGGTTGCCCTGCTTACTCTTTGGCTTCTACTCCTTCTCTTCGCCGTCTTGATCCTTTGCACCATACTGGATTACGCCTCAGCTCTAGTGCCTTTCGTTCAACTCCTACCCTCAGCTTGTATGCTGACACTGGCTTCCTATCTCTCCAGGACCGCCGTGATCGCTACAGTCTTCGCTATCTTGCACGGTCATTACAGCATCCTCACTCTCGCCTCTGTTGTACTTTAACTTTTACCCCTCCAGTAGTTCCTGTTCCTCTTCACCACCTTCCTCTTTCTGTCCATTTGTCTCACTTACAAGATTCTCTTTCGGTTCGTATTACCAATGATTCTCCGTATTGTTCCGTCCTTGCCCCCGTGGAGGGTCCCCCTTCCCAAATTTTGTACTTTCCTGACCTGCATCACTAAAGCTTTTACCCCTCCTACAGTTCTGAAAGGCCTTTTCCTTGAGCACTTTTCTTCACACTCCCACTCCGTTTCCATCTTCACCGATGGATCTAAGTCTGCTGACGGAGTGGGCTACTCTGTTGTTTTTCCTGACCACACTTATATGTCACCTTCCTCCGGAGACTAGCATCTTCACAGCGGAACTTTATGCTATTCTCTATGCTCTTCGTCTCCTGCTTTCTCGTCAATCTTCCTTTGTAGTTGTCGTTGACTCGTAGTGCCCTCGTGGCTCTCGGGCCCTTTAATCCAGTTCATCCAGTGGTTGTCGAGATACAGCATTGACTGTTTCTTATTCACAGTAAATTTGTCAGTTGAGTTTTGCTGGGTTCCCAGCCATATTGGTGTCAATTTAAATGAGCGTGCAGATGCTGCCGCTAGGTAAGCTGTCCGCACTTGTCCCATCTCTCATAAAGGTATTCCTTATTCTGACTTTTACCCAGTTATTCATTCCTACAGCCTTGCCCGTTGGCAGGGTTGTTGGTCTTCTGTTACTGGTAACAAACTGCATGCTCTTAATAGTGTGTCCCCATGACCTTCCTATCACCGTAACTGGTAGTTACAGCCCCGCTCCTGTGTCAGGTAAGTACACCACGGGCTCACCATACCCCGTGCTACTTTGGAACTTTTGCTCTAAGTAGCTGAATCTAAAACAACAACTGTAACTAGGGTGGGAAACAGCTCTGGCAAGGTTGCATATAGGTCATACACCCCCAACTCACGGGCACTTAATAAAGCGCCGCCCTGCTCCTTATTGTCCAAACTGAAGCATTGTTCCTCTTACGGTCGTGCATTTCCTTGTTGAATGTCCTGACTTCCAGGACGAGTGTGTGTCTTGCTTCCCGACCGTCCCTCGCGGTCACTTGTCCCTCGATAGAATTCTTGGTGAATCGGATACTTTTGATATCGTTCGCCATATGCGTTTCTGTTCTCATATTGGCATCCTTAGTGATATTTAGTGTCCAATGATTATTCCGCACATTTGATGGTGCCCGGCTTGGTTCCATCTTTTGATAATTACTTGCTTATAACACCCACTGTCTAATGCTAACGAAACAAGTCACAACTAAAAGGTTAAACAATCCATGGCTCACTAAGGGTATAAATCTATTAATAAAAAAACATGACCATGAGAAGGAGTCGTCTCCAAAGAAGTTTCAAAGATTTACTCATCGATGGCGTCTAAAATAATAGGAGAGCCATAATAAAATATTACGAAAATAAATTTGACCAAATTAAGGCAAACATTAAGAAAACATGGAGCACTATTTTCCAAATACCCAGTACTAGGATCAAAAGCGATTTTGAATAAAAAAACCCGATACCCCCTATCCAATGACCATAGGGGTATTGTTTTTGTTAGTTATACATACGATACCAACCGTTTGTGTAACCCCTGTCCCCACATTTGTACATTACTCTCATGTTCTTTGTACGCACATTCTTTTGAAAAACAAAAATGAATTTGAATTTGAAGTGATAATGAGGAATATTGAGAAGTACGCCCGTAGTGTGTGTCAACATGGGTGTCGCCTCACCACAGGTCATCTTACCAGGAATTATATCTTCTCTAGTAGCACCTACCTAACTTAACCAAACCTAACCCAATTCAAGCTATCCTAAACTACCCTAGCAAAATACAGTCTAACCTAAGCTAATACATCCTAGCATAACAATATATACGGTTTTAACACAGAAAGCGAACTTCATTGAATTGTCTTGTGGCCGAAAGGACCATACCCTGTCCACCCTTGTTACCATATTTAACTGTTCCACAAAATATTTATTTGTATAACTATTTTATAAAACTGATTTTAAAATATTATATATATATATATATATATATATATATATATATATATATATATATATATATATATTACTGTTATTATGGTAATGCAATGAGTTAAAATGAATTGAGATGCAAAAATAATGAGAACTTTGCGTTGTCTACAATATTTCTGTAGGAAAGGTGATCATGTAAGTGATTTCATTTATTTACAAATTAATGAGCACACAGTATGGTAATAAAAGGCAAATAAGAGAGGTACTTGAGCTTGTGGCAAGTGTGGATTCCTTAGAGTTGAGGGGAGCACGGGGAAGGAACACTTGCTGGGGCTTTGTTACTTGTGTACACAAGTGTACACATAACACAGGTGTGGCCTCCTTACCCGCTCCTCCAGTCACCAGCAGGAGACCAACCTTCACTGTCTGCATCGTTAGGCTCCAATTGTGTCTTTATCCCGGGAGCCAGAGTCCACAGGGAGCATACGGCCTTGTTCAGTCGTGTCTCCCTACAAGAACAACACCAATAAAGTTGTGTGGCAGTGGTAATACATACTAATCTAGCAATATATATATTGTTTTAATAAAAGGAAAACGAGCTTTGTTAAATTGTGCACAAGTTGAGGCTCCGTGGTGGTGGTGGTGCGAGTGATGGTGCGGGTGCGGGTGGTGGGTCAGGCCGCCCTCCTGCTGGTGCTGGTTGGCTCTCTCCTGCTGCTGCTGTGCTGGAAGGATGTCAAGCCACTCCTGCCCCTGCCATCTGTTCCCAACCCCCTGGCGCTCTCTCACACTGAGCCTGAAGATGGTGGGACGCTCGTGGCCAGTCCGCAGCAGGTGGTGGTGGTGCCCCTCGACACCCGTGAGAATGACCTACTCTACCGTGCCCCACTGGACATGGCCTTCATCTTCACCCACGCTCGGGACAATCCGACTCTCCAGAGCAAGCTGCGGGTAGCTGTGGGCTCGCTGCTCCGCCTCTCCTCTGCTCCCCTCCGTCTCCACCTCATAACTGACGAAGACGGCTTCCACATCGCTAAACAGATCATTTCACAAGCTCAGACATCCAACCAGTTAGATTCCAGATACATTAAGGTAAAATTCTATATATGTAGGGGTGCATCTTTTAGTATAACCTATTGAGTGGGCATTATTATTTACCCGAGTTTACCTGCGGGCCACTAACGCTAGTGGCCTCAACGAGGACAGGAATGGGAAGGGAACTAGCAGGAGAAAGTACTAAGCCATTACAACTATATAGCACTTGGAAGGGATCAGGCTAAGGATTTGGGATGGGATGAGGGTTGGGACCTTTGACAGGAAGCCAGCGGCTTTTCAAAGCTCCTCCTATTTACCCTGATGATTTTTTTCCAGCTAGATTTTAAAATTTAACAGTTTTGGCATTCACAGCTTTGGTGGGTAGGCAGTTCCATAGGTTTATAACTATGGGTGAAAAAATATCTCCTGTTCTCAGTTCTACATTGTAGTTTGTTGAGCTTGAAACCATTGCTCTTTGTTTGTGTGTTACATCTGACTTTTGAAGAAATTGTATGGATCAACATCCTCCAAATTGTTCTGTATTTTAAAAGTTTCAATGAGACCTTCATTGTCATACCTGGTTTGCAGTGTTGCTAGCCCTGTGGCCCTCAAATGTAGTATGAGAGTTGACTTATCTCTGGAATGACTTTTGTTGCCTGGTGTTGCACTTTCTTCCGAACAGCTGTGTCCTGAAGCTGTGGTCTCCATGCTTGAATACAGTAATCGAAATGGATGTAGTTGTTATAGATTCAGCTACTCGGAACAAGTTCCAAGTAGCACGGGCTATGGTGAGCCCGTAACTTACCTGGCACAGGAGCGGTGCTGTGAGAGTCTCCAAATGGAGGTACACCAGAATTTTATACACTTGATTCACTACCTTCTTTTCCTTAAGGTCAAAGGGTTCCTTGAGTATTCCAAGGGTTTGGTTAACTTTTTTGACTGCTGTTGTGCAACTTCCATTTAGTTGTGGATTTTGACTCCAAAGTCCTTTTCTTCATCAATCTGGTGTAATGTGGTGTTCTTAATTTGGTAGTTTTGGTGTGGGTTGCCATGTCCAACATGGGTTGCTGTGCCCAACATAATATTGGTGTTCTTACATTCTTACAAAGCCACTAATATGCATAGCAGTTTGGGCAGGTCCTTAAACTACAAGATAAAGTAAGAGTATTTAAAAGCAAATTCTAACAAAATTAGAGTTAAGCATAACTAGAATATAAATTAATGGTATTGATTATACTGATGAAGGTGCAAATCTTGAATATTAAAATTGGGTGAGTGGATAGCACAAGATAGTGAGAGTTTGAAGCACAAGGTTGGAAACTGTAACGTACGATTATGTTCCGTTGTTTGGTTCATTAGATACACAAAGTTTAGTAGTTTTTATATTAGTAGTCTTGGTTACAGCAGTCGGTTTGTTGGCAGTGTAATAGAAGGAGGAAACCTGGAGGAGAGCTGAGTGAGGCAGAGGATAGAGAGCTCGGATGTGGGGTGAGAGTCGCAGAGTGTGGCGCTCTGAATGTGGGCAGAGTCGAGGAGCTCGATGTGAGACGAGAGCATGGAAGCTCGATGCGGCCTGAGTGGCTGTCTGCTCTGAGTCAAAGCTGAAGTCTCTTGGAGTCAGTAGGAACTGGACACACCGAGTGCTGCATTCTTGAGGTTAAAGGTGTATACAGACTCTCAAGTGTCTGTACTAAAGTTAACTGAACCACTGTTGAAATTATACTGAAGATTATTCAGTTGATAAAGATTAAGCCACCCAAAAGGTGGCATGGGCATGACTAGCCTGTAAGATGATTACTCTGTTGTTGTTTTAGATTCAGCTACTCGGAACAAAAAGTTCCAAGTAGCACGGGTTATAGTGAGCCAGTAAGTGGAGGTTCATTGGAGCCATTATCTGTATCAATAGCTGATACTGGAGATCTGGGGATGGGGTCCATGGACGTGTCAATCCAATCCAAGACCATAAGGCTGGTCAGACCAGTGAATTGATGGGGTACACACGTTGCTCACAGTTGAGTGCCACAAGAGTCAGCAGGGCTGGCCACAGTTGGTCGGTCTAGGGGGAGATGAACGGGTGTTAAAGTGGTAGTAAGTTGGTAGTCTGGTCGAATTTCCTTCTTCAAGGTGCAGTAGTCGCAGAGGTGGTTGAGGCGTTCTTGAGGGATGACCATGTGAAGGATTCGTCCTTCTTCCCTGCACTTGTATTTCCCGGTAGTCGGGAATCCTCTGTTCTAGCATCATATGCCTCCCAGTCTATGGATTTTAAGTTGAAGTCGCCGACTACCAACAGTCGTGATCTATCTTTATCAGCTCTGACTATAATTTCTCTCATTATTGTTATAAGACCCTCTCGTTTATTATCTAGCTCCTCCTTTGTCCATATGTTGCTTGGCGGTGGACTATATGCATTTATGATCATTAGTTTATCATCCTGATTGCATATCTGTAGTGCTATTATGTCAACTTCTCGTGGATTGGCAATTATTATTTCGTTTACCTTTAGGTGTTCTTTCACAAGCATAGCAACACCACTGCATTTCCTAATTTTTCTGTCCTGTCTCCAGACCGAGTAGCCTGTTGGGAATATGACCTCATTTAAAATATCATCTTCAAGTTTTGTCTCTGTGAGTGCAACAATGTCTGGTGTCTGCAGCTGTATTACATCACTTAACTCCAGTATCTTTGATCTCACTCCATCTATGTTGGTGTATGCAATTTTCAGGAACTTGTTCCCCCTCTCCTTATTCTTCACTCCCCCTCTCTCTATTCCTTTTGTTGGTTTGCCTTTATGTACCACTTTACTGGTTTGCCTACCCCTATCACTTTGTAGAAAAAATAATTGATTTCTTCTTCATTCCTGCTCTCATTTAAACGTTTTGCCTCGGCGAGGTTCAGTTTCAGCTTCTCTCTGTCTTCTTTTGAAAGATCTCATCTTAATGACCATACTTTTCCTACCTCATCACTTTGTAATTTTTTAGCATTCCTTAGTACTTCTATCTGTTTGGCTCTGTTTAGGATGATTCTTAAAGGTCGATCTTTCCCTTTTACATACTTTCCAATCCTCCTGTAGTTGCAGACATTCGTAAGTAAGATGGTCAGCTGTCCTGGGTGTTCCTGCCGTCAGTTGGACATACTCAAGAACTGCGGAGTTACTGTAGCCGGATGCTGAGGGCTTTCTTGGGGTTGGCTCAGGAATCCTCAGGGCGGAGGATCCAGTAGCAGTTGTAGAAGCTGGAATAAAGTCATCGGGTATAGCAGCTGTTGCAAGTCCATTTGTGATAAGCAGGCTGTTGATCACTTGGATGTAGCGGATAATGTCGTTGCCCGCTATATTTTCGGCAAGGTGAAGGAGGATGGTTAAATTCTTGGTGGAGGCAGCAGGCTGGGCCGGTGGTGGTGTGGTTAGCATTGAATGTAATGAAATGCCATTTTCTGGTGAGCCCCAGAGGCTCCCTGGCAACCCTCCATCCCTCTGGTCTGCGTTTTTTTGCGTTATTTGATACTTAGCTTCCGAATTGGAGGGCTGAGTAGCCGGGGAGGGGAGGGCTGTGCGGACGAGCGGCGCAGCAGTGGAGTGTGATGTTTGCTTGTTTGCTTGTTTTCTTGTTTCCTTGGGATTGGAGGAAGTTCTACCTTTCTGTTCGGTTTTTAGTTGTTAGTTTCTTACCATGTGGGGATTGTTTTGTTATGCCTACCTTTCTAGGTGCCTAACCCCACTCGATGGCAGATAAATAAAACCTCCAACCACAGGGGGGTTTTTTCCAGGGCCATTGCTCCCTGCAACCTCTCTGAAGGGGCCAGGTTCTGGCTCGTGGTCCCTGGTAGGTCGAACTCCATAGCTAATGCCCCGTTCCAATATATTGTATCGCACACATTAGCCCAATAGCTCCAGGGAGCCTCCGGGGCTCACCCAGAAAATGGCTTTTCATTACATTCAGCGCTGGTGTTTTCTATGAAAGTCAGCCCTTGGCACTGGAGCAGAGTTTTGTGATGCGTAATTGTAGCTAAAGGGTTAATATTTTAACAGAAGGTTGAAAATAGATTGTATTTTTACTGACCTGGTTACATCTTTCAGCTGGTGTATGTCTCGGCTGATGATTTCATCCCAGAGATTGAAGATTCTGTAACAATACTGCAAGAATTCTTTACAAGAAGGACAAATGCATATTATCGAGATGCATTGTTTTTCTTTTCCTTGCACTTGCACAAACTTCTTCCAGGACTGGATCGTGTCATCCTTATGGATATTGATATCAAGGTATGTTGTTCTGGTGAGCAAGATAGTGTTAAATATAGGGTGCATAGTGGAAACTTTGGTAGTGTTAGGGAGGGGAGATGAATGAGGGATGGGGAAGTAGGATAACGTTGATAACTGCATTTTGGCTCTTGAACTGCACAGCAACAGGTATGTCGAGGTGCACCCAACTAAATATATAGTTAACACATCAAATGTGAAAATTGTATAAGGTGATTGGATCAGTGTATGTGCTGTACAGTACAGTACAGTATTTCAAAATGTTATTTGTATCACAAGATATATTATCATAGAAGACTGGATATCCTCTTCATTTGTCTCTAATGAACTACAAACTTGTATACCTTCACTACCTACGTTATATACCTTAACTGCTAAAACACTACCTTCTTTTCCTTGAAGTCAAAGGTACGCTTGATTATTCCAAGTGTTTGGTTAGCTTTTCTGTGGAGAGCTTCCCAGATCTATACTGGGCTGATGTGTATATATTAAACCGTGGCAACAGTCAATCGCTGGAGTTCTTAGCTAACTGAGGACCATGACCCAGAACCTGACCCCCTCAGAGAGGCACAAGGAGCAATGTCCTATAGACACCCCCGATGTAGTTGAAAGCAGTCTGTATCTGCCATCTAGATATAGATGGCAGATAGGAGGCGTTGACTTGGGGGGGGGGGGGAGATTGGGCCCCGTTTGCATAAGGTCCATTTGGGACCTTATTACAACCTCGGTGTACTAACAGCCGTTTGGGTGTTGGTACCCTTGGTGGGGGGTTGTTGTTACAGGGAGGGAGGGGTTTTTGTATCCCCCCCCCCTCCCTATACGAGTTTGATATGAGTTTGGCTCCTCCACAGATTTTGTTCTGGGTTCCCTTCCACCTAGGGAGGTGCAGGAGGCCTACGGCTTACCTCTTGCGAGATCCGTATTACGCCTTTATAATGGATCCTTTTTTTGAGTTTGGGTCCTCTTTTTCCTTACTGGATGCATTACGAGGTGCCGGAGTCTTCCTGGCTGGCAGACTGCCCTTCCTTTTCGTTACGGGCATGGCATGCATTCTGTCGGACCCGCACGCTTAAATGGCAGGAGTTGACTACGGTCATTCAGGTTTACCTGGGGGGCGAGTTTGAGCACCTCAATGTGTGCTTGTTCGCCCTTGTGCTTCCTCACGATATCGGCCAGGTGCAGCTTCACGTGCAGGTCCCTTCCCTTTTTGGTGTCCCTGGTCACTGAGGATTTGCATGCCCGTGGGCATTTGGCTTCGGTCTTGCGCTTCCTTTCCCTGCTGAAGCTGTCTTCGAACTGGCTTGAGGAGGATGTGTAGGAGCCGGTTTTTGGGCCAGCATCCTGTGTGCTTGCCTTGGCGGCTCGGCTGTCTTGTTGAAGTTGTTTGCGCTGATTCTGAAGGAAGCTGTGTCTCTGTTCTTTGCTTCTCGCCTCGCATGCAGACAGGCGGTGCTCGTCCACTCTTTGGAATCTGCTTGGGTCCTGGCTCTTAGGTTTTCGTCCCCTTTTTGACCGTTGCTGTTTGCAGAGTCTACCATGGTGCATTTTCTGCAGGTGGCTTCGTCTACTTGCTGGCTTATGCCGGCTTTGTTGGTCCTCCAGGGGGTGGGGGGGATGGGGTCCTGCCTGGAATGGTCGTGCCAGGGCTCGAGGTTCCTTAAGTCGTCGTAAGCCAGTAGTGCCAGATTCAGGGCTGTCCCCTCCTGCGGAGCCGTCGGCGTCTGGTCGGCACAGTGATCGCTCCGAGTGTTGGTAAGGGTCGTCAGCCCTTTTGTGGTTCACCCTGTTGACGGGGTGATGAGGGGGAGGCTCGCGCTGTTTGCTCTTGCCTGGTCTCATAATTCATGGGCATTTCAGGTTTTTTCCTCCAGTCTGCAGTGGCGTTGGGTGGCTCGTCCTCCTTCGGGAGGTTTAGGACTGGCGGGGCAGGCCTCTTCTCCTGTGCCCTGTCAGGTCATCCTGAAATGGGTACGCTCGGGCGTGTTTGAAACGATGGCGTCCCTCATGTGGGTTTCCTGCCTGTTTCTAGTTCCAGAACGGGACTGTGTGGATTTCAGGTTCATTCTGGACTTATCTCATCAGAATCCCTGGGTCTTTTGCTCCTTCTTTCGGATGACCACTCTGTCCCAGGTCCGGCTGCTTTTGGAGCCGAGAGTTTGGATGGTGTCCCTGGACCTCCTGGATGCGTATTGGCAAGTCCCAATTCATCAGGAGTTCAGGAACTGGCTTGGTTTTGTCGTCTTGAATCTGGGGCCTCGCGTTTTTTACACGCCTTACCCAGGTCGTGGTGACCCGTTTGCTTGTGTTAGGAGTTCAGGTTCTGGCTTACCTCAACAACTGGTTGATCTGGGCTTCCAGTCAGTTTGCATGTCTGCTTGCCAGGGATTTGGTTCTTTCCCAGCTCGCCTAGTTTGGGCTCTTGATTGAGCCCAAACTCGGGGCGTTGATTGCCCTTGATTGGGCGTTGAATGTAATGAAAATGGGGAGTTCTGCCTGCTTGTTCGGCTTTCGGTTTGCAATTTCTCCAGCTGTAGTATGTTTTGAGATTCCTAACTTTCTGGGTGCCTGACCTGGTAGATGGCAGACATACACTGCTTCCAATTACACAGGGGTGTCTATAGGCCGTTGCTCCTCGTGCCTCTAAGGGGGCCAGGTTCTGTCTCGTGGTCCCCAGTAAGCCAAAAACTCCATTGATTGACTGTTGCCATGGTCTAATATACTGTATACACATCAGCCCAGTATAGCTCTGGGGAGCCTCCAGGTCTTTTTTTTTTTTTTAAAGGAAGCACCTTAGGAAGGACTCCGTCTCCCCCTTTCCTTGGTAACTCTTCAGTGATTACACACTGGTATAGCTAAACCTTAGTAATTGTACTTAACTTCTGAGACCCACAGTGACCTAACAGGAGCAGGTCCAGAATATGGCCCTCTCACCCTGAGGTAAGGGGAGGTTGGGGGATCAGAGATTGATCCCCGATCAAACTGAAAAAACTGACTAGAAAAGTTAGCAAAACAATGTACGCAACTGCTTGAAAGATAGAATGAAATAATGAGGAAAACATTACAACTGATAGATGCCATGACCATACAATATTAACACTAATGTGTCTAGGGGTCTAGAACCACCATAGTACCCGAAAGAATGATCACCAGAAAGACCAAGTGCACCAAAACCAAAGCTATTCATTCACCTTAGTCATCGTCAAGTATCACAAATTTCTATTGACCTCAGAGTCTTCTTTCCAGATAAGTCTTGGCCATACCTTGGACTTTGTCCAGTGTAGATGGCCTGCACTTTGTTTGGCTTCACAGAAATGTGAAGCCTAAAGAAATGCCTTACTTTGTGTGTGCCTGAATATAATGTTTGCTCTGGCTGAACGTGACCAGGGTTCTCTTACTTGGTTGCTGTTAGCATTTCCTCTTATCTTCAAGATTCATTTTTGTGAGGTTTGAATACCCCTTATCTTGAGGCCCCTGCTCTCAAAGGGCCCTGTCCTAGGTGTTGCATGGGCTTTTTTCTTCAGGAATACATGGAGGTAGGTGATGCACTTGTGTGCTGTGACTGCAGGTCTCATCAATCCTGTTGGGGAAAACATCGTCTGTGGTAACATACCTCTGCATTTGTTGCATGCTCTCAGGTCTGGGGTTGGGGTGTGTTTCGTGAGATGCTCCAAGTGCTTGCCTCCTTCACTGGTCTGTGTCGGTTGGGGCCAGAGTTTAACCCTATAATGCTGTACTCGCCCTTGTGATTTTTGTTGATATAATGTCTATTCTCGGTAATCCGAATCATATCGGGCCCATTCCCATTTGAGTCGGCTAACTTTTACCAGAAACACCCAAAAATAAACAACCTTGAGTTTATTCGGGTTCTTGTTTGGCAGAAATCTTGATAATCCAACTTAATATTCGAGTTGAAAAGTCAAGGGCTTGAACTCTACTTTGAGTTTCTTGTTTTCTCTAACAAGAAACTTTACCCGAATACCCATTTAGGTTAAGAGATCAAAATGGGCAGAAAACTTGAATGTGGATTAATTCAGATTGCCAGAATCTGAATTGGCCAGCTCTTACAATACTGTACTGGCATTAAAATACTTGAGATTTACTAAATTAAAATGAAACAAAAAATATTAATGAATTGATAATTATAGTATGTTTATTTTTTGAGTCCTGTACTTGCCCATACTATACATGCATGGCAGGGAATTCTGGTTGCCTGTATTATTATTGTTGGTCTTTATGCCTGCATGTGACTTCCTGGGTGGTCATTAGGCCACCTAATGGGTGGTCATTAGTTGTTTCTTCCAGGTTATTCAATGCAGCCCTATGTGCTGTGTTCTTTGGGAAATGTGTGATGCTGCTTTTTGTGCTCTGCAGACTGTATGTTTTGTGCCTTTCAAGTGGTCTCTCTTTGGCCTGGTCATCCAGTTTGGCTGCCTCTGTCAGCTTGTGTGGCACTCCTGCTGACCAGGTTGGAGGCCTTGCTCTGGTGAAGGTGGTGTACCTTTTTGTTTTGAATATCTATGCTTGATATACTGTACTGTAGATTTATGGACATTATGATGTCAATAACAGCACATGAAGTGATGTCCAAGTTTTTTACTTCCAGTTAGGTTAGTGGTGGTTGTGTGTATGTGAATATAATGGTTGCCAGAGTAGACTAAGATTTTACATGTTCTGACAAAAATATTTAAAGGGAAACCTACATAATGATGATTTTATTTATTTATTTATTTTTTTAAATATAGATAGTGTAACAAGTATTATCTTCTAGGTCAGAGGTGACATAGCAGAGCTACACTCTCACTTTGAACGGTTTAGCACTAGCAATGTGATCGGCATGACGCTGGAGCAGTCTTCTGTGTATCGCCATGTGTTGTCTTTGTACCGCAAGCAGCACCCAAATACTACACTCGGCAGCCCACCAACCAAGGGGGGATTTCCAGGTTTCAACAGTGGTGTTGTTCTTGTTGACATCAACAAGCTAAGAAAGTGTGAGGTGATAAGTAAGTAAATTGCTACTGTATTGGGTGGGATGATGACCTGGTGTTTCTAATAGACAGCTGTGTATATTTTAAATGTTTTTCAAAGCAAGACTCAATAAATTTCATGCACAAATGCCTTTCTTCGAATATAGTTTTACTTTTAACACTTTCGCGCTCTGCGCCAGTGAGCGCCTCGCTACCCCAGGTGGGTCTGGGCATTCCATAGGAGCGCGTGGTAATTCTGAAAAGTGTATTCTCTTTTCAACTTTGTCACCATAATTTTCGTCCCTGGCCTGACCCGTCCTTTCGCAGTACTCAAGACGGGTCAGGACAAGGGATTTGAAGAGTACAACCATTGTGATGGGATCCCTGGATTTGAAAGTTCTCATAATACATCCTATCACTTTTCTGGTTGCCGCAATATTTGCTTGGTTATGCTCCCTTAACGTTAGGTCGTCAGACATCATTATTCCCAAATCATTTACATGTTGCTTTTCTACTATGGGCAAATTTCATTGCGTTTTGTACCCTGTTCGTTTTGTACTTAAGGCTCTCATTTTTACCATATCTGAGTACCTGGAATTTATCTCTGTTGAACATGTTATTTTCTGCTGCACAGTCTAAAACTTTGAAAAACTACAAGCAGATATTAATAATGTCTTCAGCAGAGGTAATTTTCATGCTGATTTTTGTGTCATCTGCAGAGGATGATACAAAGCTGTGCCTTGTATTTGAGTCTATATCTGATATGAGAATATGGAAAACCAGTGGTGCAAGGACTGTACTTTGAGGTACTGAGCTTTTAACTGCACTTGGACTTGATTTTATATGGTTGACTGTTACTCTTTGTGTTCTGTTCGACAGAAAACTGAGTATCCAGCGTCCTACTTTACCAGTTATTCCCATTGACCTCATTTTGTATGCTATCACTCCTTGGTCACATTTATCGAATGCCTTTGCAAAATCCGTGTATACCACATCCGCATTCTGTTTTTCTTCTAATGCCTCAGTGATTTTGTCGTAATGGTCAAGTAGCTGTGAAAACCATGATTTCTTAGAACCATGAAAACCTAGCAGATTTTTCTGTAAAAAAGTAACTTTTATTTAGATTGGATCTGAATTCCTAGTTCAGCCACAGGACTCTGAAAATGACACTTTTATATGCGAGGCGTACGTATACGTATATTGCAGGCTGTTGCATGCTGTCAAATCCAGAGCATGGTAATTTGCGGAAGGCAAATGTATCCATTATTAGTGTAATCCTTGCTTTGCTCCATGGTGGCTTAGCCACTACCAATCTAAAAGATTGGCAACCCCATTGTCTAGGGGCCTCGCCCGATAGCCAGGCAAGGCTAGCCACGGGCGGGCCACTTTCTCGCAGGTTCCCAAGCCTCATGTGGAGTCTTATCCTAGGATTATCCTCTGCAGTAGCTACTGTGGTTGGTCGCAATCTTTTCGCTTTACATGGCATTTCTTCTTGAAGGGATTGCAGCAAGGTTTTTGCAAAAATTCAAATTTTGTCAACAGCAAAGCTTCATGATGGAGGCATACTTGAGATTCTCCATCCAAGTTCAGTTCACTTCCCTTTGCTATCAGTTTTTGATCTTCTGCACTATACTGTTTTAGAAACTTCAAGCCTTTGTTGGTAGTGTAGGTTGTCAAGTGACATTCAGAAGAGCCACACTCATGGCTAGCACATGGCAATAAACCAATGGAATCCTGATTCATGACGTATCCATAATCGAATTCAATTCAAATTATTTAACTAACAGAATACAGTAATTTCAAGTGAGACCTGTAATACATTAATATTAATATTGCTTTTTATTCATTTGTGTATTTATTGTAAGTAAATACACAAATAAGTAAACAGCAATGTTTGACCTGCTGACACGATACTACAAAGATGTAAAGATAAATATAGAACAGGAACCAAAAATAAACTGATTGTTTAATAATAATTCTGAATCCCACCCAAAAATGTTCTACCCAATGAAGCTTAAAATTTTTCCAATCAGTTTGGATATCAATTTGCTAGCAATCATGAGCGGTGCACAAAGAAGATGGAGAATCATAATTTTATTTTTTCGATATCGCACCAAGGTATGTCATTTTCAGAGTCCTCTGGCTGAACTAGGAATTCAGATCCCAACCTAAATAAAAATTACTCTTGTACAAAAAAATCTGCTCTATCCAATGCTGTCATTCAAAACCAAATTGGGAATGACGCATATTGAGATATTTTGAGATATATTGGCAGTGATATTAGCATGGATTGGTAGCTGAATGGCTACCCAAACTACTTTCTTGATTACACTGCTGTATTCCGCACCAAAAGTTGCCCTGGTATGCCAAATTTCACACCTCTCTGGGCACTAGTTGTGATTTAACAAAGGGTCAAAGTTGGTAAATTTTTGTGGTATTTACGTATTAACGGGACGAGAGCCCATTCAATATGGACCTGTTATTTAAGAACCAAAGCAGATTGAGCTCTAATATTTTGCAAAGTGCTATTTGGGGTCTAGGGCTGTCTTACTACAAAATTTCATGGCATTTGGAGAGGGTCGAGTGGGAGCCATAGGTGACTTTTTGGTGATTTGAGATGGAATGACCTGTAGCAGCCTCTTTTGGGGGACTGTGTCAAGGGCTTTCCGACAGTCCAAAAAAATGCAGTCCGCCCAGCCTTCTCTTTCTTGCTTAATCTTTGTCACCTGGTTGTAGAATTCTATTAAGCTAGTGAGGCAAAATTTACCCTCCCTGAAGCCATGTTGGCAATTTGTTACGAAGTCCTTCTCTCCAGATGTGTTACTAGATTTTTTCTCATGATCTTCTCCATCACCTTGCATGGTATATAGGTTAAGGACTCTGGCCTGTAGTTCAGTGCCTCTTGTCTGTCACTCTTTTTGTATATTGGGACCACATAAGCCATCTTCCATATTTCTGGTAGGTCTCCCATCTCCAGTGACCTACTATACACTATGGAGAGTGGCAAGCAGAGTGCCTCTGCACACTCTTTCAATACCCATGGTGAGATCCCATCTGGACCAACAGCCTTTCTCACATCCAGATCCAACAGGTGTCTCTTGACCTCATCTCAAATAATTTCGAACCCTTCCAAGGCCGCCTGGTTTACTGACCCCTCTCTTAGCACAGTGACCTCACCTTGTTCTATTGTGAAGGCCTCCTGGAACCTCTTTATGAGTTATTCACACACCTCTTTGTCATTCTCTGTATACCTGTCCTCGCCTGTTCCAAGTTTAATTACCTGTTCTTTCACTATTGTTTTCCTCCTGATGTGACATCAGCTGTGTGGCAGGTGCTGCGCCAGATTCGGCTTCATTGGGGGCTCCTTTTCCGGATCCTTTCAAACTGCTCCCCCTGGACTTTGCATATATAGCTCGGCTTCTGGTTTCTTGCGGTTTGGCTGTGTGTGTGTTTCACGTCTGTAGTTTGTCGAATGTGTTCGCAGACTGTGCCTCATTGTGTTCTGTCCTGTTCAGCAATGTGGGTGGTAGCTTACATGTCCTTCTGTAGGGTTTGGTGAGCTGTTCAGTTGTCTGTAGGTGAACTACTTTGCTTCAAAGTAACACTGGTGATTCCAGTGTTTGTTGTCCCTGATCCCAATTTACAAGGCATCCACTTGTGATTCGTTGGAGCCCAGTGGAGGTTACCCAAGGTTTGGGGGTTATTATGTGGGATAGCTCAGAGAGCCACCAAGAGGCCCACCAGAAAAAGGCATTTCCATACATTCAACTCTGGATTTACTGACCAACTGGCTGTTGTTCCTTTGAACCTACTTTGCTCCTGAACCAAGTCCATTCTTTCTTGTCTCTTTCTTTCTCTGAAGTTTACATTTTTAAAGTGGCCTTCAAATTGGCTCTTCCTTCTAGTGGTTAGGTCATCAGTTGAGTAGTTAGGTTCAGCCTGCCTTGTGTATATGTCTATGTATGTCTACTGCAATGATTGTTTACCTTTGGAAAACTACAGCTTGCCTTGTTTCAGTCTTTTCTCTCTCTAATCAGGAAAGCAGTTTGTTTTACTTTTGTACTTTCTGGGCAATTTTACCAATTTTTAGGTTGATCTCGAGTACCTATTCTCCCCTGGCCTTTTTGAGCACACCAGAACCTGTTCATAATGTTCAGTAGGTCTGCAGAACATCATGAGCATTCCTTTGGTACCTGAGCAAATGGGGAGCTACTGAGGTCATCCAGTAAAGGTCATTTTATTACTTTCAGCACTTGATATGTAGAATATATATAGAGTGCAGCCCTTCTTTTATATTATATATGATATGATATTCTGTCATATCCTTTGTAGGGGATACCTTGAGACACCATGGGGAAGAGGCTTGTTCAGAAATAGATAATTGAGAGTAACCATATGCCCCTTTCTGGATGTCAACTTAGTAGCTCGCCATACTCATTAAATTTTCTCATCTACCTATTTCAGCAAGGTTCACTCGAGTTCGAGAACAAAGTGAGCACCTTCCTAGGGGCCTAAATTGGATTGAGCTGCCACCTGGTGGTGACTGATATGCCTGTTTGGCTTCTTTTGGTTTTGATTTGGCAACTTGGTGTTGCCAAACATTGCTTGAAGGTGGTCTGAGGATTTTGCATGCCTCTCTTAATATTCTCATGGCAGTACACCTTGATAGTGGGTTGATCTTTGATCCTTGTGAGCCTCCTGACCCATGGAAGGGGGGCTGAATGATTTGCAAAGGGCTGAATCTTGAACCACTTGTCACCAGTGGTTCAAGATAGTCACCACTAGTTTGGTATGTTCCTTATAGCTTGTGTGCTGGTGACATAAGTTTAGTGGCTTCTGAGGTATCAGCCAAAAAAAGAAGCATTTTATTACTATCAATGCTTTATTTTGTTCAAGTGGGAGATTACTGTAGTTAGATACATAAATGGATAAAAAAAGACTAATGTTTGTTATATACTCTTTATGTCTGGGACAGGCAGCCTGTATATGTATATCTGTTGGACTTGTATTCAGGTCCCCCAAAGGTTGAACTGCAGACTCTCCCGAGGACTAACTCCCAGGTACCTATTTACTGCTAGCCAAACAGAAGCATTAGGTGACAGTAAATGTTTCCCAATTATTTCTGTAGTGTCTGGTATTCAAACCTGCGATTCCCAATTGTGAGTTGAGAATGAAACTAGCTGTGTTTGGTGCTTTTCTCAGTGTGTGTTAACTAAGCTGACTTCCACAGTTCAGGAAGATAGCACATATTGCTTCATTCAGTAAAATTTTAAAATTTGCCAAATATTCACCAGAACTTTTTAATGGTTGATGTATTGTGTGAAATATGTTTACACTTTTATGCAGCATTTGACAGAGATATTCATAATAAACAATTACTTGGCAGGTAGGTATCTCTCTAAGTCAAAGTTGACAGAGAGGACGAGCTACTACGGATTTCAAGGACACTTGGGGGACCAGGATCTGTACACACTCATAGCATTTGACTACCCTGAGTTGTTCTACACACTTCCGTGTGGCTGGAATCGTCAGCTGTGCACCTGGTGGAAAGATCATGGTTATAGTGCTGTCTTTGATCAGTATTTCAATTGTACAAGTGAACTGAAAATTGTCCATGGAAATTGTAAGACTCCAATACCAGACTATTTATGATAGACTGTGATACATGTCGAAAGAAGGGACCAGGTAATTTATAGTTAAATCAAAGATGCGGGTAACATTGCTAGAGATGCTCATAGGTGAAATTCATCCTTATTGTTGTGATTTGTTCAGACCTTTTCTTTGAATATTCCCGGTTTCAGATGAGTGAAAATAGAAATGCTAAATGTTTTATTCCATTAAAGTTTTTTGTATGTGATTATGTAGCTCTTATTTATTTGTACTAATGGGTTTTATGTACTTAGTGTTCACTTTGGAAAATGTGTGCAGTCTTCTTAGGTTTCAACTCATGTGGTACACAACTGAAGCTTATGCTAAGTAAACACCTAAAGAAAAGTGTGTGAAGCAGTCTTATTCAGGCAGTGTCACTCTTCTCAATACTGTGGCATTACATTTGTAATTGTGTTTTTAATATATTTGTGTATTTATAGTTGTTTATTTAGTGGCATTGTTTTAAGTGATGATGAATGATGACAGATCTGTATCTACATCTGAGTGTAGTTTCAGGATGAATGCTATACACACATGATGCATTTGAATGTATCTATGTGTTTGCTCTTAAGTATGCAGAAATGTGAATGAGTATGCAGTGCTTTATCATGAGAGGGCATTGATGTCTGAATATACTGTATAATTATGTGAAAGTGTGTATTATTTTTTTGGTGCGTGCACTTTCATGCTATTATGAGTTTATTCATGCTTGTAACTACCTAGGTGTAGTTACAGGATAAGTTATGCTTGTGATATGAATGTATTAGACTGTGGCATCAGTCAAGCGAATGGAGTTCTAGGCCTGCCGGGGACCACGAGCCAGAACCTGGACCTCTCGGAGAGGCACAAGGAGCAATGACCTATAGAAAACCCCATGTGGTGTGAAGCATTCTATGTCTGCCATGGACCAGGTCAGGCACCCAGAAAGGTACGCGCTCCAAAACAAACCCTATCTGGTTTAAAATTGCTACTGAAAGCCGAACTGTTGGACAGAACTCGCTAAGCTGAAAACAAGCAAATGAGCATGACGTCACAACCTTCAATGTGTTGCTGTCTGTGCAGCTTCCCCCTTCCCAGGAGGGGAAAGGGGGGAGTCCCAGACCCCCATGCCGGCTATCCACCCTTCAGTTCTGAGGCTGATGTGTATCCTGGCAGCACGTCCTGTTCTGCTGTTGCTCCAGGTCCTAGCTTGGAGACAAATGAATGTTGTGTGCAAACAAACACACAACCATGTGTGTAAATGTGCATGCTTGCTTGTGTATGTGTGTGTGTGGACAAACAAGCTTGTTATTATGTTTTTATTGTTACAGGAAGGGAGCTGTGCTCTTGTGTCCTGTCCTCTATATATTTTATCAAATAATTTTTAAATTTTCGGTGGTTATGGGGCACATAACCACTTATTTTTATGTAGTCTGTGATCTCTTGCTCTATTTATTTCAGGTTTCACACAGTTCTCATGTTAGTTTCGCATACCCTTATAAGACTTGTGCCGTATGGTACGATGTCATATCCCTTTAAAAACTTGTACTATGTGGTACTTTACTACCATAGTCCTGTAACTCTCATGCTGCTTCCATGATGCTGAGATGATATGCGAGCTCTTACTCCCATTGTCCTGATAGCTCCCAATCCAAGTTACTCGTAAGTCTTGGCAGGTTTGTATAGTTATTATATTTTGTATCCATAGATGGCTCTGGTACTGTATTGGTGAAAGTCTTGAGTACCCTATGTTCCTTCCTGGGGATTAGTTAATAGATGGCAACCATGTCTGATGCACATTCTTCAAGCTCAATATGTGCTGTACACAAGCTTACAAGCAACCATTGATGGTAAACAAAATTGTAAAGACATCATATGAGCAGGTAGATATCATTGGTGCACATGTTGGTGTTTGTAGTGCAACTACACCTAGTATTGGTGATCATGGTGCCAGCTGTAGTGGTCATGGTGTAGAAAACTTGTTTTTGTGTTAACAATTGGAGAAAATATGGTTCCACGAGCTACTAAATCAGATGACAATAGAACCGTTGTGTTTAGTGATTGTTGTCCTGGTGTTGATTGTGGTCTTATGCTCTTGTTGCCAAACTAAGGCAGATGGTTTTCTGTTTTATTAGGTAGAAATAATGAGGCACAAATGCCTCGATTTGAATAAAGGAGAACTGGTGTTACATATATGAATTATGACTACTGAGAATAGTAAAAAAAAAAAAAAGAGAACAATACAAAAAAATAATCTCATAGAATGTTGTGTTCCTCTATGTACTGATAATTGCTTGAATTATCTATATGTTTAATCATATATTTAATTATAAATAAAATAATATGTAATATACACACAAATGTCTAAAGCAAAGAACCCAACCAGCCACTGCTGCCTCTCAATTAAGCATCACACAAGAAACTGCTCATCACTCACCCTGTCATTGACCATTTTTACCTAACTTCCATACACCACCACAGACAAACAATTATAGGTAGAAATTTTTGTTTGAATATTCAGTACATTATCTTTAATTCGTATGCATTTGTTGGATTGTAAAAAAAAATACAAATTTTTTTTTCCCTCATTAGATGGGAATCCAAAAGTCTTAAGGTTAAAAACATGTGCAGTGCATTGTCACATCCTATTTAAAATTTGTATGGTACTGTACCGAGTTATCGTGTATTTTTTAACGTCTAACAATTTGGGTGTTTGTCTTTGCTTTTCCTTCAATCTCTGGGAGCCAGTTTGTTATCTTTGAACACTGTATCTTGCATATGTTTTTTTTTTTTTAAGACTGGCACCATGCAACAGTTACAATTTCACTTATTCTCGGACATATGCTAACATTGCACAAGATTTTCTCACTGTAGTATTTATATTAGCATTTTATTAGCAAAATAAATAAAGATAATTTTTATTACAATATCAATATAGTGGATAGTTATAAGGTAATTTATTTAGATGAAATTGTGAAAGTTTCTTACTCAGTACACACATTATACTATTATTTTTGGTTATAGTTTGTTATTTATGTTTAATCTGATACTGCTTTCTTGGTCTGATTATTCTTATGTTTGCCTAGTATTGTATACTCCATGGAGTCTTTTTTTCACACTTTCCGTTTTAGTTACAGTACATGGTATTTATCTAGTCTTATTTCTGTGATTGCATTCATGTTTGAGCACATGGTTGAGGTTATCTCGGTGTAGTGGCAGGATGAGAACTAGGCTCACGATGTCTCATCTTCCCTGTAATCTTCCTAATGTTTTGAAGCTTCTACCTCTTCTTTAAATACTTAAATTATTCCATCTATTTACCACTGTTTGCAAAGAGTATTTACTCCAGAAATATGCATAAATACACTTGCAATAGTAGTAGATGGATGATATAAAGTAAATGTTGAAATAAAAGGGAAGTGTATGCCAAACCCAGTGAAAGCTTGAAAATATCATATAACAAAGATTATAAGTAGTATGTGATACAAGAAGCATAACCCTCATCCTGTAACCTAACTTAGGTAATTACAGGATTAGAACTAAGCTCACTTGTCAGTTTCTTTATGTATCATAAGTATATTTTAAGTTTCCAGTAGATTAAGCTTATAATGTCTCCTTTTGAAGTTCATTCCAGATGTATGCTACTCTGTAAAGAAGTATTTCTTTAATGTTTTTCCTGAGTAGCTAAATTGGTCCCAAATCTGGGCTGTGACATATCCTGGACCCTACATTTGGCCTTAAACACTAGCCAATTTCTTTTACCCATTGGGATAAGAATATATTAAATTCTACCGTGTCTTCTCTAAGGAGCACGATGCTCATGGAGGTTAAAAATCAATCACAGAAATGAGATAATACAACCTCTATGACCTATGAGCACGAGTTTACAAAACTTGTGCTCCCTCCTAAAGTGGCTTGGAAACTGCTTCACGATACAACCCACAAAATTCCCAGGGCAGACAAGAACAGAAGCATTTAGCTTGGGTGATGGATGAACAAATAGACAGATGCTTAGTACCCAAGTGAACCTTGGACCCTTGGTTGTAAGCCAATGATTTAGAACAAACAGTGAACAAATAGAATGCACCAAAAAGTGAAGTTTTAGAGGAAGACTTCATATCCAGCCATAAATGTAGATATTACAGAGCCTAATAAGCTCTGAAACCTATATGAAAATCAATTAATGATTGAGACTCAGAGGCCAGCTCACTTGAATCTTGATTGTCTGTTGATTTTGAAAGTTCTATTCTTGCAATCTGGCCTGTGGCCAACCTTCCCTGATGATTGTCTGGGCTGTAGCTTGACGACTATGTATGCCAAAGGACTACTTAGCCATCACAGCCAGATTGATCTGGTAACCACAGAAAAAACTTGTCCAGTTGTCCCTTTAATGCTTCCACTGTTCTAACTACATTTCTTAAAACTTTTGGTAGGAGATCCCAAGAGTCATGACCTATGATGTTTATGCTGTTTTCTCTAATTGTGTTTATGGCACCCCAACCCTTCATTAATGTTCCCGGTGTCACCTAATTGTAATAGTTGGAGGAGTGCACACACAAATAACCTAGGCTATCCTTTGGGCTGTATTGCCTATAAATTAGAAGCCCATACTTAAGTTCATGTCAATGTGTTTGTCAGATACTTTAAGTATGTCTACATTTTGACTCCCCCTATGACTGTTTTCAGGGTCTCTTTCCTGACGTGGGGTATGAGGACCAACAACCAGCAGTTTTCTTTCCTGACATGGGGTATGAGGACCAACAACCAGCAGTTTTCTTTCCTGACGTAGGGCATGAGGACCAACAACCAGCAGAGTTTTCTTTCCTGACGTGGGGTATGAGGACCAACAACCAGCAGTTTTCTTTCCTGACATGGGGTATGAGGACCAACAACCAGCAGTTTTCTTTCTTGACGTAAGGTATGAGGACCAACAACCAGCAGAGTTCTTTTTCCTGACATAAAGTATGAGGACTGACAACCACCTGAGTTTTCTTCTGTGATGTAGAGTACAAGGCCCAACAACCACCAGAGTTCTCTTACGCTCTCTTCACCTACACATATGGGGCATAACTGGCCGACCTCTCGCAGTGTAAAAAAAAAAAAAAAAAGTCAACAAGCACCTTCAAAGAATACCTGATCAACTAGGCTGTGACTCGTACATCAGGCTGCAAGCAGCTGCATCGAAGATCCTGGTTGATCAGACCAGCAACCAGGAGGCCTGGTTAGAGACCAGGTTGCAGGGCAGAAATTATCAACAGGTAGATAGGTTAAGTTTGAGGATCAACCACCATAATTGTGGTTGTGGGTCGGCCGAGCGGACAGCACGCTGGACTTGTGATCCTGTGGTCCTGGGTTCGATTCCAGGCGCTGGCGAGAAACATTGGGCAGAGTTTCTTTCACCCTATGCCCCTGTTACCTAGCAGTAAAATAGGTACCTGGGTGTTAGTCAGCTGTCACGGG